GGACCAAACCGGACCGTGCCCACTCCTAGTAGCAGGAATTTGTAAATTGGTATGGTCATTGTGATGGTTGAAATATCAGGAATTTGTAAATTTGTATGAAATTGCATTCTCAATAAATTATGGGAGTAGAATTTAAAGATGAACTGAAAAAAAACCACATCTAACTATTCTCCATATCTAGCTCCTAAAATAGGGAGATTTTTAGGAGCTTTTAAATATAAAAAGAGAGAAAGAACTCCTCGAGACTCCTTGTAATTAAATACTTTTATATTTAATATTATTTTAAATATTTATTTAATACCAACTAATTTTTATTATTGCTTTTGTATCTACACTTTATGGCATGTACACATATGATATGAAATTGTGATATAAAAATGTGGTAACACTTTTATGCCATGTGCTTTGGAGAAAAAACCAGTGAATTTGGCCCAGCTAGCTGTACAAATTTTGGTGATTTCTTTTCAAGCTCATATTGAGGCACAAAACAAGTACTGAATCAAAGGGTTCTCAACCAACTGTGAAAAACAAAAAGCTTGGGGAAAAGAAACAAAAGCAAATGCTTAGAATTGGCAAAGGAAATGGGGGAAGTAAATATTAGCTAGAAAAAAGGATGTTCTTTTTTTGTTCCCCCTTTGTTTTAATTTCTTTTTCACTTATTCTAGTTATATTCAGTCTCAGTTGGGCCTCTGCTTCTGTTCATAGAGGAGGAGAAAATGTGATGTAAATCAAATTTTTAAGTAATGATTAGTAGATGAACATGTATGGAACCCTTCCTCTTTCTCTCTGTTTGTTTTGTTTGTCTGTGTATAAAGCTTTCAACTTTCACAGGCACTCCCGTTGTGGGTTCTCAGAAATTTGGTTAATTAATTTACTCTGTCTTTAAGGTACAATGGCAAAAAGAATCAGTGTTGGGGGGGTTGGATGGCCTCAGCATGTTTGCCTGTTTCTTTATATGCCAGCGGTCATGAAAGTTTGTTTCCCTCTTTTCGGCCAGGTATGCCGATGGAAGGAGTTTTTGGTCCTTCTTCTCTTGAGATGCGTAGGTGTGCCACCACCAAACCACTTGATGGCTTGGATGGAAAGATTGTGTGAGTGTGTTTGCGCTTCTGACTTCTAATCAAACAATTGATCGACCAAGCAAGGAACCTCCTGCATTCTCTGATTGCTCGACATCTCTATTGTACGGAAGAGTTGTTGGAGTTCCAACGATGTGGCCAGACTTGGCCTCAAGACTGGTCCTTCGGCGGCTTCCATAACATCTTCGACCACCACGTGGTCAAGATCGACGGCCGCATTTCGGCCAAGGCCATTTTGGCCTCCATACCACAACCCGCTCAGCAAGCCCCAGGCATTCGCGTGGCTTGGGCCCACTTAAGCTTGTAGCGTGGCATGTTGCTTATTTGCTTGGTGTGGCATGTGTGCAAACGCATATGACGAACTTTCGCCTGCCCAAATCGGGTTTCTTCTAGATAAGGTATAGCATTGGGCTGAGATTATATTTGGGCCTAGCCTTGGATTTTTTGGGCCTCAACAAGGAGACTATGAGAAAAACATCCAAATCCGGAATGAAACTTAAGGAGATTTTTATTTAATCAATCGTTTACTAATTAACCAATATAATGGGATATACATGGTACATGTTGTTGACAGATACTGGTACTCCTTAGTACTGAATGAAATTTGACTAAACATGTAGCAATGATTTATACTTTCATGCTGACTCACACGAGCAAGTTCGGATCATATAGATTTAAAATGAATGTAGAATTGAGGACAAATATTTGATCTGGAAATGAATTCAATTCTGGACAGGTAGTCCCCAGTGGGGAATGATATAAACAGAAAGCACCAACATAA